GCTGCACCTCCACACCAAGCAATCAGACATTCAGATCCCAGGTTAAAAAAAAAAAAAAAAAAAAGAAGACCAACACAACAAAACAACAAATAAATAATGGTGACTGCTTTTTATGCATGCTTCAGTGGTCATGCTCTACATCAGTTTTCACTTATCTCTGCCTCAAAGACATATGCTTCATAACTGTTTTGCTACACAGTGAACTCAGAACTTAACCAGACTCCTCATCCTCTGCCTGTCATCAGTCCCCTAGAAAACTGATATAATCAGAGAACTTCAGAGAATAAAAGCCTTTATCACAGACATGGGCTTTATCGAGTCCAATAATAAAGGGAAGTTTCATTTTGGTCCTCATTCAAATCCTGCTGAAGCCAAAAGAAATCTCTCGACAAGCTTTGCTCGTTCTTGTTATTTGGAAAACATTATCCCCCAGAAACTGCCAAGTGTCATATAATTAATCAATGTATTCTCAGCACTTAAAGTTACAGCTAGTCAAAGCCACCGTAGACTTCCAGCAAAATGATTTATTTGGCAATGGTGCATTTACTTGACCTGCATTGACTTGCAGGTGTGCCAAGATGTTACAGTTCCTAAACGTTCTGGTAAGAATCCAGTAGCATTTTTACAAACTTTCTAGGAAGGAAATAAAGTACATCAACAGCTAACCTGGATTTTCTCTGCACAATTTCAGGTGCCTAAACCCTTTTAAATGTCTGGCTTTGAGCCTTTGTCCTGGTAATTTCAAATGAACATAGGACAGTTTCACAGGGCTTCATTTCGGAATGAAGCTCTTTTGTCACAGGTCAGAAGAAATGCAGTACTTATGCTCGCACTCAGAGGATTATGCATATCCATGTGAAAACTAGGCAGCAACACTACAAAGGCTCAATGAATTTGGGATCCATACACTCCTCTTATCCTTCTGCTTATTTATAACCTTATTGTGCCTGCCACCATTAGGTGACAAGACAGGACAGTCTCAATTACTTTTCTCCTCTAGATGCTTGTTTTACATTTGCTGGTTGTGGGAAGACAGTGGTATCCCTGCTGCCTAGTGCCTGTTGATTTGGTGACACTGATGTTACTGAATTGTTTTCAATGTAGTTTTCACTAGTATTAGATCAAAGAAAAGAAACTAAATGTCTGTGCAAGCTTCAGCACTGTCTAAACATATCCACAGAACCATAAAATCAACTAAAGCACTGTTAACCCTTGACAAACCACCCGTGGCAAAGTGGGAAAACCTCGATTTTATTTCAAGAGTCAGCTGCTACACGGAGAGCTTCCAGAAGTGCAAAGTAGCATCTGCAATAACAGTATTACCATGCTTTTCAGCACTTTGGGAAATAAGAGAAAAACAATGATACATGAAGAAAGAGCCCAGAGAAAGAAGCAGAAGTGGGACATGATTTCACACAGTAGTCCTTTTGTGTAATCACATCCTATTTCTATGTATGGATTTCCCCCAAAGATTTTTTTTTTTCTGCCTCTAAAAACGAGCTTTCAGTTAGGTGTCCCTCTGTTCTCTGAGAGACAAAAAAAGACTGCACGATCTGCCAACTGAATCTGTACAGGCAAGCCTTCCCATTCACCTGGACCCTGCTGGAGATATACAACTGAAATTCAGTTTTGTTGATCAGAAAAAAAAAAAAAAGCAATTAATGTCATATTCTGACATATTTGTCCAAAAATTTGGAGATACAGTAAACAATCACACATGCACATGAGAGCACAACGTGAGTCTCTGCCTGTAGCTCTTGAACTTCTGGCAAGTAAACCTTCTCACGGTGATCTCTGACTTCCTTCCAGCCTAGAACTAGTTAATTGCCTTTCCCTGTTCCTGTTATCTATGCTACAGCAAAAACCTCAAGCCAGGTCAGCTCATTTGCAAGCAACAGAAAATGACTTCTGTGTTACACCGTGCCACTATGAGCTTAACAAAGCACACAAAAGAGCTGAAGGCGAAAGCGGAGTTGTAGAAGTAAGAAGATTAAGTTCAAAACAAAGAGCAGACAACTGTTATCAGGGCACAACCCAGCATCTCCCAGTGTGGGTTCACTACAGCTGTTGGCCCTCCCCATCCAGCCCCTAATACTCCTCGTGCTCCCTTTCAGGAAAACCACTACGGCCATTATCTTTTCCTGGCATTATCTGAGAGCAGACTTTACAGCATCATTGTCCTTGCACCAGAACACAGTTATTCTCACTCATTTCCATTTCCTCTTTTTCTGACCTCACCTTGACCCTACCACATCTCCACTCTGAGGCACTGGAGAAGGAAAGGGGAATAAGAAAAAAAAAAAAAAAAAAAAAAAGAAAAGGCAAGAAAATGAAATGATTCAGCAGTTTCTGGGAAGCACAGGAGCATTAGTCAGAGGTGATAAGGGTAATAGCAACAGCGAGATGTGAATGGCCACTGAACAACAGACTGCTGGAAACACTTCCCCAAACCCCTGAAACCGAATAGCTACGGAAAGCCAGCCCTCACCAGAAGCAGTCGAGAAAAAGACACTATCAGCTGCCCAGCACCAGTGCTGAAACCAAGTGAGCATACAGGTACTGCTCTTCAGTCACATTCCTTTCTTACAGACAAACCCAATGCATCCCACCGAGCTAAAGAAACACACCTGGGGAGACAGCTGTCCTGCATAAAGTTCTCTCCAATTAAGGAGATCCACAGCTGCAAAAGCTTTCCCTGACTAAAGGATATGCACAGTGCACTAAAATGCATTGCTGCTCTCTTGTTCCTCTTCACCCTTCTCAGGATATACAAGCAAGCACAGTGGTGATGCAGCTGGTTAGGGAAGTATTTGTCTACGTCAAGCAGCACACGTTTGACTTCTTAAAGACCAACAATACTAATACAAGTCCTAAGGGCTGCAGACACACGTGCGAGAATGACATTTGCTAGCCCTAGCAGAGTCATAACAGTACCTGCCTAGGTTGAGATTTCCAGGGCACTCTTCCCAGCCTTCACCTTTCAGCAATATACAAAATCAAGGTTTACAAAGCAAGACAATAAACCACATCTTTTCAGCAGGACAGAGTACAGCCATTGGATTCCCAAGGCAGCCTTTCTTCTTTATGTTGCAATATTTATGTTAAGCTGTAAATGATGCACAACCATCACCTCAAGAAAGCACGGCTCCTTCCTGAGAAGCTGAACTCAGTTTCACTGCTTCCCAATTTTGGCTGCACAGAGCAAGGTTTGTCCCCCAAACCAACACTTACTGGGTCTCAAGAACTGCATGACGAGGTGCTGCTCCTGGACCTATCCCCTGTTCTGTGCCTCCGGGCCAGCACTGTCCCCTCTGTGCAGTTTCTCCAGTCAGAAAATACAATGCTTACAGCTTCTTGGGAAGGACATACTAATATCTGTTATTTAAATGCTTACCAACAATACAACCAAACTTTGCTTAAGAGCAACTTTTACCCACCAACAGCTTACAATGCCTCCTCTGTTCGTTGCAGGCATATTTTCAGATATATTTTTTCACGTGAATTCTGGCCCTCTTTCTTCTATAACACACTGCTACCATTTCATTTTTAGATACAGCTTATTCAGGCATTGTTATGTAGAACATTAAAAGGAAAAAGCAAAGCTATGCATAAATTTATAAAAAATTCCTACAATGAACATAAATCCATAGTACAGCAGAATGTATTTGGAAAAACGCAGCAATGTATCTGTCACAAACGGCTAGAGAAAGTTGCTGGGCAGTAAATGACAGCAAACATTTACAGCACATCAACTCACTGCAGTCAGCATTTATGCAAAGGCAGCCCTAGCATATTGCAAGCCAATTAGTGTGTGTTTAAAGTGCTGTTAATATCCATGTGAGAAGTTAGTGAAGAAAGAAGGCCGTAGCCTTGAGCTTACATTGCTCCGCACACCTACTGCTTCCCCACTCCACCAGCTTTTAGTTCCTTGCAACTCACTCTCAGGGAGAAGTGGTTATCAGCAGCAGCTGAGGCTATGCGTGTCCATACAGCTCCCCGGGCTGGGTGCACGTCTGTTTGTACTGAAGCACTCATGGGATTTTTTGGGAGAGGGTGGGGATGAGAAGGAGCTTCTTGTATCCTCCCATTTGCAAAGAATTTCGGTTTCCATGCAGCAACAAGGTTACGCTGTCCCACACAAACACCTGCGTAAGGCACATGGCTCCTAGAGCTCTATACGTAGCACTGAAATAGTTAGGAACGTATGATAATGACCCAAACCTTCTACATGACATCGTTTAAGCAAACTCTTTATTCTGTCCTCTTTTCAGCCCTAAACGCACACACTTAGTGAGAAAATTGTACAGGGGATTGCACCTTAGCTTCACAACCCTTCCTCGGAGCTCCCCCCACGCCTGCTAATAGCCACAACACTCGGTTCGGTCGTAGCCATTGTTTCCCTCAACCGAAGCCTCCTCAGGAAGGCAGCAGAGCTCTACAGGCGAGCGCGCTGCCAGGCAGGGGCTCCCGTCCTCCGTCCCCCGGCGCTCGCCACGCCTCAGCTCACATCAACCAGCCCCGCTACCTGTGCCTGCGGCCGAGCCGGGCTGTGCGCCCACTACCACCACCACCCCCGCCCGTGTCCCTAACAACCCCGCCGCGCCGACACGGGACGACAGGACGGATGGAGGAAAGGGGACGGTCCCCCAACCCCCCACCCGGCCGGGCTGCAGCGTCCCGCCGGGGTGAGGCCGCCGCTCTCCTCCCGTTTCCACGGAAACCCCGGGGCGGCGCGAGGCGCCGGAAGATTCTGGGCGGCAGACACGGCGCGGCCGGCGGCGGCAGCGGGTGGGGGATGAACCGAGGAACTCGTGGCCGCAGCCCGCTTCCCGCCGCGCCTCGCCCCGCGCACACACTCCCACACCCCGCCCGGCCGCCGGCGCTGATGGGTTGGGGAAGACGGCTCTTTGTTGTTTGTTTCCAAACCGGGCGCCAGCCGGCTCGAGAGGCGCAGCCCCGTACCTGAGGAGCCCTCTGGCCGCCAGGGAAAGAGCACGTACCTGGCGCCGCCGAGCCTGGGCATGGGCGCGCGCTGAGGCGCCGGGAGCGGGCGGCACCGCGCCGAGCCGAGCCGCGGCTCGCCAACTGCCACTAGTTTGCACGCGCCGGGAGGCGGCGGGCTCGGGCGGGGCTGCCTGGCTCCACCCGCCGGGCGGCTCCCTGGCCCCCTCGCCTTCCCTCTCCGCCGCCATGTCACTTCCTCCCCGACCCGGGGGGAGACTTCTCCCCCCGCCTCGGGTTGTCTGCTTTGGGATGGCTCTGAGACGGAACGCCGGGCTGAGCCTTGGCAATGGGGCAGAGATGGAGCGGGCTGGGCTGTGGCGGCATGCGGGCCGTCTGGGGACGGGCCGCGAGATGAAGGGCACCTGTGTGCATCTGCCGCTTGAGAGAGAAATTGGGGAATAGAATAGCGGCTGATCCGCCTGGACACCATGAGATGCAGGTGGTAGCCATGCAAACGAGCAGCGGGTATCCTGACGCGCTGTGATCGCCGCCTGTGGGAGCACAAACGTTTGCTGCTCGGCTTTGGCTGTGGAGTCGCAAGTGGCTTCCTGAATAGGGAACAGCAAGAACCGCGTCTGTTAAATACCCAGAGTATCAGAAGGCGATCATGCTGGGGATGACGCGTCATCGCGGGCGGCGTTGTCAGCTCCGCAGGTCGCGCATTTACGCTGGGGCTGGAGTGCTCTGTCATGATCTATGACATCCTGGTCCATAGCAGCCATACAGCATCCCTATTCATCCTGAATGTAGAAAAGTATTTTTTAAATACTTCAAGCCATCGCTAAAGCACAGAAGTTTAGACTGGAGATAAGTTTCTTTTTTACAATGGGGGTGGTGAGGCACTGGGACACGCTGCCTGGTGTGGGAACACAGGAAAAACTGCTCAGAGCAACAGCTATGGAGCAAGATAAACAGCATGAGAACCAAGGACATCACTAGAAGAAGAAAGAACATCTCATGGCTATGGTTGGACAAGCACCTGCATGAGCAGTTGAAGAATGTTTTGTAGAATGCTCTGTTGACATGTAAAGGTGGATTGGAAAGCTAGAAAACTTGTGAAGGAATATAAGTTATGTGAGAACTTGTAATAAATGATTTGGATCATTCTCATCTGAGTCCATGCATCAGACGCTGCAGCCTGGAGAGGTGGAAGATACCTGAAGACATCCAATGTCAGGCTGGACAGGGCTCTGAGCAATCTGATCTAGCTGTAGGCATCCCTGTTCACAGCAGGGTTTTGGACAAGGTGGCCTTTAAGGGTCCCTTCCAACTCTAAGGATTCTGTGATTCAAAGTTGCTTATGGAGAGGCAAAAGAAGGATATAAGCAAGACTTCTAGCTTGTTCCAGGAGCACACTGAGTACCAAGTTACAGGGAAGCATCCCATCTAAGAAGGCCACACATGGGAAGGGCAAGATGCTTTATCTATCAGAGAGCAGAAAGGGCAAGGCAGCTGCACAAAGGAGGACAAGTCCGGATCAGAGAGCTGACCACAGCACTAGCAGTAACTTTGTCAGCCAGAGCACAGTGCAGGGAGCAGGTTCTGCTGATGACCTCCTGAAGAAGCAGTAAGTGGTGCAGTTTGTTCAGGCAGTCTAACTAGGAGATGAGGTCAGAGGGTCAAGGTTGCAACATGGGTTCAGTCAGGAAACAAGGCCAGAGACAGAACTGACAGTGCATCCACCTCCTACATAGCTCATGCAGAAGCTTAATGTCCAGACCTGAACTTAAATGGGCCCAATTTCTGAGGGCAGAGCATGTGAGTGGAGGTCTCACATGAGGCTGGTCTGGGCTGTTAAGACCTGACAGTGACCTGAGGGCTTTGTAAGATTCTTCTTGGTGAATACATGTACTCTTGAAGGAGGCCAAGATTTAGCACACTTGCACCATTCGGACATGGAAGCGTTGAATCCAGCTCACTAACATACTCAGGCTAGTAGTGGTCTAACTACTGAGGATTAGTAAAGGGTATTTGCACATCCATGAAGGCTGTGAAAGGCTGATACTGTGTACACATCCTAGGAAGGGGCACTTCTAGGTAGGGAGATGAGATTGTAATCCCAAAGCGAGGTAGTGTGTAATTCAGCTAAGCATCCCCTATTAGCTATTTTAAGCAGTTTTGTGTGCTACACATACAGATTTTCTGGGTTTTAGTTGAAGGCATCTCCTTCAGGATCTAGGTATTTCGTTTTTAATGAGCCAAGTATTCAGAAATCAGGCATCTGGTACTAAATGTTGTTGTACCTATATATCTTTTCTGATCTGGCTTTGAGAACAAAATCTCTGCAGCTGACTATTTTTACATTCCTCCTTTTCTGAGAAATTATAATAAAAATCTGGCTTCTTATTTCTTTATTATTAAGCTGCAGCTTAACAATTCGTGAATACTTTACACTTGAGAAAAATCTACGGTGGGGAAAGAAATCCTCAATTTGACAGAATGTGCCTTTTTAAAAAAAAATCTAACCAGGAAAATGGGAATAATGTAACCCTTTTATTTAAATTGAAGTTTGAAAAGTATGCCAATCTTAGAAAGCTGTTAGATTCCATGGTAATGATTGAAACTGAAAAGCCTGTAGCAAACAGTGCTTCTATAATTAAGAGCAAGGTTTGTCAGGTCCTCACTGTGTTTTTTTTTTTTTTTTTTTTAAGTGCTATCAAACACTGATGATAGAAACGAATCAGATGAACTTTCCTTAAGCTCTAACCTCCAGAACAGAGAATAGAGTGGATTCAGATATGTACAGTTAAGAAATCCCCCCATACAGACAAGGACAGCTAAATTGAGTATCTTCAGGTCTCAGTTCTGGCATTTCCTTTTGAGTGCTTGAATTTGCACTTTCAATGTAGTTTTTTTTTTTTTTTTCTTCTTGCTTGTGGGCACATAAATAGCTTATTTGCATTGGGCAAGACTCAGGAGTTGAGTCAGGAACTCATACCAGGTGATGACTGCTGCAATGCCAGGACCATTTCTCACTGCTTAAAATGGGTAACTTTCAGTGAATCTTTCTGCAAGAAACAGCAAGCAAACACACAAATTAAAAACCAAAACCTTCTGCTGAGCTAGATGTGCACTCAGATCAAGAAGGGATCCAGGTATCTCACATGATAGAAGTGAAATTGCTTGCTTGTTCTAACAGACAGACCCCAGTCCTACTGACACTTTTAAAGTGCTTTAAGAATCTGATTTCAGAAATTTGATTTAGTGAAGTTCTTATCTATTCTTGGAAGCTCTGCAGTTCCAGCTATGGCAGCCTAGTGATAGAAGCAGCACACGTAGCATTGATGCTGCTAGATTGATGGAGTATATACTGTACAGGAATATATAATGATGCACTGCTGTGAGCAGCTAGGCTCAGGAAGCCCAGTTTGCTACTGCTGTGTGTCTTATGGTTAGATTCTGTGATGTCTAATATGATATGTATTATAAACAACACATTTTCCTCATTTAAAGCATTCATAATGTTCCTCTTCTGTGTAGGCTGAATGTAATAAAGACTACTGCCAGCTATCCCTCTGTGGGCAATAACAAGAAGTCTTTCCTGTACTTGACTTATGTGTCTTTATGAAATCTGTGGGAAAGTAATTGTATCTGAGATCTCGGCTTCTTTTTTGGGGCTTCATTAAAATCAACAAACATGTACAAGAGTCTTGGTGATGATTAATAAATACAGCACAGTTTCTTTTTTTTTTTTAAAAAAAAAAACTTGTGAAACCAGATGAAAATAAGTTTACACCAGCCAATAAATGTTAACTGTTGGAGAACAAAAATGAAAGATAACATACATGCAGGTGTATCAATTTAAATATGCTAGTCTGGAATGGCAGTGAAAAAAAAAAAAAAAAAAATCACTCTTTTTTGGCCCAAGGAACTAGCTTTACTGGGTTTTTCTACCTCAGTTATGTAGCGATTCCACCTTCTTCACAGAAAAAAAAAAATAACCACTTCCTTACAGAGAAGCTATACAGTACCCATAAATGGAAATATTCTGTTAAAACTAAACCTTGAGTCCACAGTTAGTTTTAAAAGATTCATTCTCTAATTGAATATGCATTAGCAAGAAAGAAAGCTGTGTGAAGTGCAGTAGAGGCATTTCAGCTCCTGACTGCCTAACCCAACCCTTTACAAAGTCTAGTACATACAGAAACTAACGCCATGCAAAGTTGTGGGGAAAAAAAGGACTCAATCATTTATTTTGAATACCATCCCTCTAAGAAATTCCAAGGATTGTATCATAAAAAAGTTTAAAAAATTACTCTTTGCAGAACTGGACTCAATTTTTTCCCCAACTACCGACATCCACAAAATAAGCATTCCTTACAAAGTGCAAGAATTTCCATGTCTGTTTTAAAAGTTCAGTATAAACCTACCTATAAGGAAAGGAGGGGTTGTGGTTGTTTCCTTCTAAACACAAATGTAACACGGCGTATCACAGATTATTTTCACTCTTTCCTGAAAGCAATGAAGACACCATTGCATACCACCTTGGGCCCACAGTTGTTGACTCAGGTGACTAGCTTTAGAGTATCTGCATGTGCAGGTGGCTGTGCTGCCATTATTCAGACATGGTCTACAAAACTACATGCACAGGAGAGGCTAAGCAACCAAAAATGTGAGGACTTCAATGGGACCTTGCAAACAGAAAGATGCCAATATCTGTCATGGTCATGGGTACGTGTCTGGGGGTGAAATTCCTCAAAGATCTTGAGGAAAGATCACTTTGCAGCTGCAAATTAAGTGCCTTTTAGCCGGTACTTGGGAAAATATCGCTCTTCCAGAAGCAGAGAGAAGAAACAGTATAGAAAAAAAAAAATCTTGGTCTGAACAACTTTGAAGTCAGAGAAGCTCTGGCTCTGTAAAAACAAATGCTGCTTATGCCCAACTCTGTTTACATTGAGTTCACCAGGGAAGAGACACGCTGGCTGCTCTCCAGGTTTTCAAGGGCAGTACCTGATCTGAATATATAGCTATGCAGACTTTAGCAGTCAGAAACAAATCCACGCAGCCATCCTTTTTTGGCTTGTACATTTCCTCACCTAGAAA